CAGTCACCCCAGCCCTCACCATCCTCTACCCCCAGTACTGATATCTCAGGCTATAAAATATATATATAATGTATATACTGCTTTTTTCCCAAGGGGCTAATGTGAAGGGAAAATAAAGTGAATGTATAAAACGCACGTCTGAAACTGCCTACCCACTGCAGGTTGGCCCCAGATTTGTCTCTTCTGTTTCTAGCAGCCAGCGTGATGAAGGACATACAGCCAGTTGTGAGACGGATAGTATAAATATAGTGGACGTCACAACAAAACAAAAACAAACCGTTCCCGGAGGGTGGCGGAGTGCTCGCTGGCCTGGTATTGACACCCGAGAGCGACTTCTGTGGGATTTCACGAGTTAGCTGGGGACCGTATCTGCCCTCGGCTTCCCTGCCCCTGGATTCTTGGCTCGTGTGGTGTGGATAATGGTGTTTAATTTGTGCAGTTGTGAGGAGTAAAAGATACGAGAGACCCGGCCAGAACCTGGCACAGTTTTAAGTGCCCGATAAATGGTTTGTATCTGTATGTGCTGTACACACAGCGCCGTTCCTGTGGGAGCTAATAGGGCCGTCTTGCCTGTGGAGGCCGGAGCTGGCAGCCACCGGTCCCCCGCAGGGTGTCGCCTGGGGTAAACCCCACTGGTTCGGTGGGTTTAATTCTGCAAAGTCTTCAGTCTCCTTGGTAGCAAAGTGGGCGCCTGTGAAAGGCTCTTCCACGCAGGTGGCTCCAGGGCGACTAAGTGTTGGGGTGGCCTGGGGCCTGCACGCACGGCAGCAACCGTCAGTGACGCTAGTTGAGAAATACCTTAGGAATCCGGAGAACTGGACGTGCTGGCGGCTCAGTGCCTCGTCTTTGCACCGAGGTGGAGCAGGTGAGGGTGGGGAGAGACCAGGGTGCCCGCTGACGATTTCTGACGTTCAGAGATAACCCAGAAAGCCGTGCTTGGTTTTTCTCCATTGCACTGGCTGTGGGGTGACTGTGAGATAGTCCCAAGACATTCAGAGCTTCTGGGGAGTCTGCACCATCTGCCAGAAACAGGCAGGGGGGTGTTTATCTGAACCCGTGACACCGAGGCCACTGCCAAGGCCAGGACTGAGTACCCTGCGACTCGCACCTAAGTGTCCTCGTTGTTCTTTACAAAAGTCCGAGTAGCAGGAATGGAACCTTTATTTTAGTAACATTTTAAACAGTTGCCTTTTCCTCTGTGAATTATCGTTATTTAAAAAATATTTGCTGCTGCTTTTTACACTATTTTCAGAAGCAGTTTAACTGACGTTTCTAGCGAGATGATTTTTTTTTAAAGCCTAAAATTTCCTTGTACGTTTAGCAGGTAACCGTCCCTCATTCTCTGGGTGTCGTACTGTTTTGTAGACCCCTGCTGGATTGGAGAGCTTGCCTGTCAAGTTTCTCATTTTCATTTTACATGTGAAATGATTGTACACCCTCAACCTCTGGCTTTCTTAAGAGCTTGCTGTCATTTTGTGATTTTAACAATAGCCATCAACCTTCATGATGGGTCTCTGAGACAGGTACAAGCGTTTTAATGAAAATAAATGCGGAGGTCCACCTGGGATGGTCTTAGCAGTCGCCTGCCTTCGTCAGCCAGGCTGCTTCTGTGGGTCCTGAAGACAGGTACCCTGGGGGGGGTGCGAATGCTTACGTTCCAGCTCATTTTACTTCTGCTATTTTTGTTGCTTAGCACATACAGCTTCTGAAGTATGGGCCCCCAGGAGAGCATGCCTGAGCCCCACTCGCCAAAGCCAGGCTGGCCTTGCTCCTCTCACGGGCAGGGCAGCTGAGGTGCACAGAGGCCGAGGGGTAATCAGTGGAACAGGCGCTGTTCCTGAAGTTTCGCCCTGGGACCATGTTCTTTTTCCTTTATCTGGACACAAGACAGAAAGGGGAGTTTTAGTTGCCAGGACCGTGTGTGTGTGTGTGTGTGTGTGTGAGAGTGTCTGTGCGCGCGAGGATGCTTTGAGTTTAAGATCGCTCCGTTCGGGCCATGGCTCCCTCCGGCAGCTCTTGAAAGCTTACCTTCCTCACTCGGGGAAGACTGCTCTTTTGTTGTCGTTTTTGTTTTGTGTTCTTTATTCTCACTGGAGGATATTTTCCCGTTGCCTTTTCAGAGAGAGTGGAAGGGAGAGGGAGAGAAACATCGACGTGAGAGAGACATCGATGGGCTGCCTCCCGGGCCCGCCCTGCCCGGGGCGGGCGTCGAGCCTGCAGCCGAGGGACGTGCCCTTGGCTGGCACCGAACCCGGGACTCGTCAGTCTGCGGGCCGACGCTCTAACCACTGAGCAGAACCCGCCGGGGAAGGGAATATGGTTTTTACTGTACTGTGAGGATTCCCACAAAATTCACAGCCATGTGGGCGCCAGGGAGCTGCAGCTTCCCAGAGCCTCACCGGACGTCTGGCGCGCCTAGGGGCGGTCGTGGGGGGTGGGAGTGGCAGCCGGGAGCCACTGCAAGTGGCCACGGAGGGTCTGATTTTGAGCTGGTGGAAATGTTCCAAGCTTGGACAGTGGTGATGGTCACACAGCTCCGTAGACATACTAAACGCCACTGAATTGTACCCTTAAAAAGTGAGTGAGTTTTATGACATGTAAACTCGACCTCAGTAAGACTGATAAAAACCCCTGAAATTTGGGCTGTCTTGAAAGGAGCCGCATTTCTAGCTCGGCATCATGCCTGAGGAAGCGTCCCCACCTGCTGAGTGCGGGACTGAGTGGGGGCTCGGAGGCAGGAGCTGGAGGGGCCGGCACCAGCAGAACTCGCTCGCAGGGTGGGGGACCTGCGGCCCAAGCGGGAGTAAAGCGGCTCCGCTTCTCTGGTGAGGAACTCGGGTAGGTTCCAGAAGTACAGTGCGCTGCTCCCTGTGGGCTCTGAAAGCTTGCTTGCTGAAAAGCTCGAACTCTTTCATTTGGTGACCACCACCAGCACTTTATAGCCAGACACTGTACCTTAAAATCCTACCCGTCCATGGAGACTGCCCGTGAATGATTTATCAGATGTCCTGTACAGATGTAAATGTATTAGAGCATGTTTCCAAATAATATCCATATAACTAATGTAGCCTAACTGCCATTTTTTCTTAATTGCCGTTATTTATTAAGATATAGAAAATAGTTAATGCGACAGGTTTTAAAAACTTTTCCAACTTAATTTTTTTATGATGCATTCCTAATTCCGGAATGAAGGCAACTAAACTTTCACTGTTTGCTTTACTCAAGAAGTTGGTTGGCTTTGCTTACATATATTGTGTGAAACTTTAGATAACGCGGCAGGACTCCCTCGGTAACTGGGGCGCAGGAAACAATTGACACTGTTGCTTAATTCACATTGTTTCTGAGACATTTCCTACTTGCTAGTGTACTATAACTTTCCCATGAGAACACTTTGCTTGCAAATGGTTAGGCCTGATACAGGTCTCATTGGTGCACCTTCTGGGAGGAGAATTTCACGGCAGTTCGTAGTAGTTGCATTGGGGGGTGTGTGTGTGTTGCTGGGGGGAGGGTCACGTTTTAGGTAGATATCTCCAACTTCATTCCAGGTGGCAAAGGTTTTCTTCTGAGTGCTGACCCATCACTCTGGGTTCTGCATTCCTTAGTTGGAACCTTTCTTGAAGGAGCATAGAATTGTTTTCATCCTTCCAGTTCAGGGAAAGACCCCTGTGAGTTATGGTGTTCTTAGATATGCCGAATGAGTTGCTGGGGAAGGCAGTTCACAGCAATTTATATCAGACCCACGGCATGTCGGAGTATTACTTGTGGGTGTGGGATATCGTCTGGGGCACTGTAGAGTGGTCATCAAGGAATAATTCCAGAATGGGAGAGAAAACCCATACTGAGATACTCTAATTTGTAGTTAAAAAAAAAAGTTTCTATATTACCTCCGAAAAGGTGATTCCTACATTAGGAGTTATGCTGTTTATAAAGTGAAAGTAAAAGTTTCCCAATTTAAAAAAAAAAAAAGCTGTGGAACTTTGAGTTCCTTTTTTCCTGCCTTATCAGATTTTATTAAAATAATACCACTTGTCAGTTTTGCAGCTCCTTCCATCCAGAGAACTAAAAGCACTTCACAGTCTTTTCTCCTCATGCTTTTCTCTTCAAGGCAATTTTTGCTGGACTGGGTTTATTTTTATCGTTGCCACAACCAGTTTTTTAGAAACTTTTGGGAACGAAAAAAGAAAAATGAGAATGGCACTGTGGCTGACATTCATTTTAGCTGCTTCCGAGTGTGAATGTTTGAGTGTTTCTAAAATCTCTCCAAGCACATCTTATTTTTTCTCAGTTTGCCCCAGTTCTAAGTGTCTATTCTGCTGATTGGGTAAAAAAAAAAAAATAAAAAAAAATAGTGTTAACGTAAAACATTATACCCAGCAGAATGACTCCTTGGACTTTGAGTTAGATCTTTATTTTTTTGTTGCTCTAAGAGCTCCTTTTTCAACAACCTGTTGAGTGTAATCACAGACTCAGGGGAGGTTAGAGCTAGAAGGGCCTGTGGGGTCGCCCAGTTTAAGTCTGTCATTAAGACAAATGGTGAGCTTGAGGCCTAGAATGGTTAAGGGACATTCTCAAGGTCGTGGAGCTAACTGATGGCAGCAGTCTGACTAGAATCGAGGATTTCTGATTTCTGGCACTCTGGTTTTCCTAAACAAAAGTAATCTCTCTGTCTAGAAATNCTAACTGATGGCAGCAGTCTGACTAGAATCGAGGATTTCTGATTTCTGGCACTCTTTGGTTTTCCTAAACAAAAGTAATCTCTCTGTCTAGAAATGAGAGGACACCCTCCCAGAATCTCGGTGCCACCCAACAGGCTGAATTGCACCCTAGCTAACTGAAAATTGGGAGGAGATTTTATTTTTCTAGTTGGAGCTTGTTTGTCAAATACAGAATGGTAATGCTGAATTCATAGACATTTTTTTCTGACCCGTGGCTCTTGTGCAATTTATATGCAGCACAGGATGTGATTTCAAAGGATTGGTGACCTCTGTTCCTTCCTTTAGGCCACCACACCATCTACATTGGGGTCCACGTGCCGAAGAGCTACCGGAGAAGGAGACGTCACAAGAGAAAGACAGGGCACAGAGAGAAGAAGGAAAGGGAGAGAGTCTCTGAGAACTACTCCGACAAGTCCGACGTGGAAAACGCCGATGAATCCGGCAGCAGCATCCTAAAGCCGCTCAGTGAGTACTCCGTGGGCGCTGCACCTCCGCCTGCCTCACTCCTACACCCTGGGGAAAGACGCTTTCTGGGTCTTGTGACTAATGGGGTGGATGCAATCATAAGGGGACGGTCTCCTCTAAAGGGTCATGTCTGTGGAGATGCTTTTCTTGGCCCAACAGGCTTGTCTAGGAGGAGACTTGGTAAAATTCTGAGTTGGTCAGAAAAATATTTGACAAAGTTTAGGCATGACTGTGTATACTACATTTTGACTAGTGAAGTAGGGCAGAGTATTATAGATGGTACTTAACTACAGTAATCAACAGTAACTGAAAGATTCTTAAAGACATTTTTGGATTGTTTCTGCTTAGAAGTAGGTTCCATTGAGGCAGTAGGTCAAGATGAGAATTATATATATATGTGTATATGTATATATGATACAGGGTTATAGATGACGTTAACCAGATCATGGGTTGGGTTGCTAATTTAAAAAGGGATAGTGGAAAAGCGTCCTGTAAGTCATAGGAGAATGCAGAATGGAGTGGCATAGCTCTTGAAATGTTAAACATATTAGATGTCGTACTCTGGATGGAAGTGTGACTAAGAACAGAGTAACAGGCGGTCAGAGAACACCCTTGGATTCAAGTGAGTGGGGGAGGTGTGTTTAGGTACATGTGTATGTTGCTCTTGTGTCTTTTGATGTGGAGAATATTTGGCTATCTGGGTAACCCTGTGTCTGAAGTGAGAATGAATATGTGCAGTAGAAGCAAGAAACAGTAGGAACACATGCCAGTTTGGGGAGATTCCCCAACAGGAGTTGCATAGTGACAGCTTTTTGTGTTGGCAGAGCTCCATGCAGGCTTCGTCTCTTTGCTACAGTTGCAGGAATAGGGAACCTGCCATAAAATGCATTAGGGGTGTCATAGGTGAAGATCTGGTTCAGTCGTTGCGGGTGATGAGAGGCCAGATTAGAATTCACAGCTCAGGAGTGTTGAAAAGTGAGTTTACAGAGTTGAAGTAAAGAGGGTGTGAAGTGTCGTGCCGTGAATCTGCTGTAGTCTCGCTGTCGGAACGGAGCAGGTGGCTCCGTGCTGGGAGGGGCGGTGCAGATGGACACCAGAGTAAAGACACACGCGAGGCGAGTTTGGAGATAGACCTCTGAGTTAAAATTTAAGGGTGTTAGAATAAGTGTGAGACAGGAGGGACCTGAGGGCAGGAGACAGGAGTTATGTACTTGTCGTTGGGATGTTAAGAATCTGAAGGACTCCTTCATATATTGACTAACAAACAACAACCCTTAACCGTCCGTCCCCCCCCC